AAAAATTGAATTGGGGAAACGATAGGGGACGGGATATGAGAAACCCCATATGTTTGGGAATTTTTCGCATCACTACATGAATTCAATGGATAAATCCTTCCAAAAATAAACAACGTGTTTAGGAAGAGATTCAATCCTGATAGCAATATGTTGAACAAAAAACCGACCGAAAGTCCACATTTCACAAATTTTGAGCTTCAGACTGAAATGAATGTAAAATATAAACCTATTCAATGGAATATCATTGAAATGTTCAATTCTCTTGAAGAAAAAGGCAAACAAATTGAATAAAATTTTGTGAAAATTCCGAATTTTTAGTTAGAAATTGACGATTTTAAATCGACAGAAATTGTCTATTATTCATATTTGTATTATACATGTATAATTAATATTGGTGACTAATATGATGCATAATACAAAGAGCTTGACAAAATTTCAATAAAATAATTTAAGGGTGAACTTACCACTTTCTGACATGCATTGAAAAAAAAATCAATATATCTTTATTTTAATGCCAGTAAAGTATAGCAGTCATATTAGGTACTACGTAGTGATTTATATTTACTTTCTCCTCATCAAAAATATTAACTTTTGACTTTAGAATATTGAGATAGAAAGCTTGGGTGTCAAAAAAATTGAGAGAATGTCAGAAAGTGAGGTCAGGTATGAGGGGCTTCCAGGGGCTGCGCCCCTTCTAGCCCTGAAGATGTTTAGTATAACTTTGTCCGGACAAGTAAGGGTCTATCGTCGCTACAGGAAAAGTTACAGGCGTTCCAAGGAAGTATACTTTGAGAAGCCTTCTTCTGGGTCGAAAACATTATATAATGTGTCGCTTTTCACAAATTATATATGTTTTCATGTTTTGTCACTTTTCTGTCACTTTTCAGGAAAAAACATTTTTATTATTATATATAAATGAATTTTACAAAACCACCGTTACCGTTCTTTGGAAATAAGAGTAGATGTAAAGATATTCTATTGAGAGAACTTAAGAAACTACCGAATGGTCTAACATTTGTAGATTTGTTCGGTGGAAGTTTCTATATATCCCATTTGTGCCATACAATATTCCCAGACTCAAAGATTATATGCAATGACTTCGACAACTATATGGACCGTCTCAAACATATACCAGACACAAACAATATATTGAAAGAGTTAAAAGAAAAGATACCTATAGGTAAGATGGAACGTATACCATTAGATAAGAAAAATATTGTGAGAGAGGTTTTGAAAAAAGCAGAATATATAGACTGGGATAGTATATCTGCTAGACTATTATATAGTGGTGCTATAAGAGTTCATGACATTGAAACACTTATGTCAAAAGTTTTATATCTTAACTATACAAATGTTTTCAAAGAGGACATAGAAAAATATATTGAGGGTATAGAGTTTGTGAGATGTCGTTGGACAGAGTTGTATGAAAATATAAAGACAAGGAAAATATTTTCTTTATAGTGGACCCGCCGTTCTATAACACATGGGATTTTCAATACCAAGTAGACTGGACTTTGAGAGACTCTTTAGAAACTTTAGACGTTTTACATAACCATCCATGCTTTTACTTTACATCCGATAAAAGTGGTTTGGAAACCGTTATGAGATGGTTAGAGGACATACATGACTATGAGTTTATATATGACAAGATAGAATATGAGAGAGGTCCTATAAACCGGAGAAAGTGTCATAACAAAGAAATTTTATTGGTAAGTAAATGTGGTTTGAAATAGGACTACTTGTTTTAGGTTTTTTCCATTGTGTCATTTATTTATTTGACGTGGCAGAAAAGTACAGAGAATATGAAGATGAACCAATGCCTGCAAATGTCCAGTATATGTACTCGTAAGAGATATTTTTATCTAATATTAAATGGACGCACAGAACTTAGCGAATGCACAGCAACCTGGACAACCAAACCCAGAGAATATTCCAAATGAAGTTAGAATACAAACTGCAATGGCAAACTATGGTCAAGTGCCAACAGATGTACAAATGCAAACTGCCATGTCAAATGACGCTGCGTTAGGTTTGCCACCATGGTATGCAAATATGAGATGGAAAGAGTTTTATACAAACCCTGAAGTGGGATATAAACAACTTTATGCAGATGACGCGAACACAGGAGTTGACCCAGAATATGTTTTCTACCAGAGGAGAAACAGAATGTATGAGCTCCAGTTAAAGAATGCTATGGAACTCAACAGGAAACGTAAGAGACTAGGTGGACATTAGATTTTTACATATAGTAAAATGGGTTTCTTCAGTAGTATTGGAAACTTCTTCAGAAGAGTTGGAAGAGGTATATGGAATGGAATAAAATCTGTCGGAAGAGGAGTATGGAACGGTGTCAAAAATATTGGTAAAAGAGTAGGTCAGTTCGTTGGTATTATACCTAAAGACCCTGAACCAGAAGAACAAGCTCCTGTTATACAACAGCCTGAACCTGCACCACAGTCTAGTTGGCAACCAAATCCAACACCTCAACCGTATTAAAAAATTATATTTTTACCGTTCGATAGTAGTTGTATATGAAACTAAGTTCTAAGTAAAACGCATGGTATAATGGAACTATTCTCTTTCTTCCATCTGTTGTAAACCATACTTGAAAGTCTGAAATACTTCCACTTGGTGGTTCATATAACTTTGTAGGTTTTTCGTAAAAGTCATTTGCCAAGCATAAAAAAGAGTTTTGTGCACCAGAAAATGAAGCATGAACTATAATAGCATCTGAGTCGAAAACATTTTCATATGTTCCATTAGGGTTTTCGACTTCATAAAAGTCCGGGTGTACTGGATATGCTGCAGGCTGATTTAACATCCTCATAAATCTATACCATGCCAAGTTGTTATATTTTGTAGAAATATAAACGTTTTCTCCAAGGTCTTCTATTTTATTGATTTTAACAGTTGCATTTTTCCTGTCATATATAATATCGAGATGGTACTCTCCCTCGTCAATGTTATACTGGTTTGCATATTCGATATAGATGTCGTTTATTTTTTCTTGAAAAGCTTGAAGAGTTGTTTCTAAGTTTACAAGCAAACTAACTTGTAAAAGTTTTCCCTGTTCAAATTTCTCATACGTATGTTTTTCTTTGTTATAGTATCGAACTTCAAAACCGACTGTAAATGGGAAACCATGTATGGCTTCTGAAATGAACTTCATTCTACGAAAGCCAATAGCTTTTGTGACAGATGGGTCTCTTAACCATCTTAACGGGTAGTCAAAACGATAGCCTTCATGCTTTACGGTCTCTGTCTCAAACTTTTGACCGACATTCGTAAAAAGTTCATCTCTTATATACGAAAAAAAGAGATCTGACATTGTGTCAGATCTCAGTAAAAGTGACATTTACATGTCAAAAAAATAGAATGAGTTTAAGTAATTAAAATTGAGGGTGAGAGTAGTATTGTATGAAATAATATCTCTCACCCTCCAATTCATCCTATGGCGCCGAAAAAATTTTGGTGAAATGCGACCACATTTCACCAAAATTTCTCGGCGCCATATAGAGAACTAGAGCCTGTGAGGTACTGATACTATCCATGTACCTCGCAGGCTCTAGTTCCAAGCCAAAATGGCTAAAAAATTGCCCGCAATTGTTCACATTGCGGGCAATTTTTAGCCATTTTGGCTGGGAATTGGAGGGTGAGAGTAGTATTGTATGAAATAATATCTCTCACCCTCCAATTCATCCTATGGCGCCGAAAAAATTTTGGTGAAATGCGACCACATTTCACCAAAATTTCTCGGCGCCATATAGAGAACTAGAGCCTGTGAGGTACTGATACTATCCATGTACCTCGCAGGCTCTAGTTCCAAGCCAAAATGGCTAAAAATTGCCCGCAATTGTTCACATTGCGGGCAATTTTTAGCCATTTTGGCTGGGAATTGGAGGGTGAGAGTAGTATTGTATGAAATAATATCTCTCACCCTCCAATTCATCCTATGGCGCCGAAAAAATTTTGGTGAAATGCGACCACATTTCACCAAAATTTCTCGCGCCATATAGAGAACTAGAGCCTGTGAGGTACTGATACTATCCATGTACCTCGCAGGCTCTAGTTCCAAGCCAAAATGGCTAAAAATTGCCCGCAATTGTTCACATTCCCATCTTTTGTTGGTAAGACGAAGAATATGAAATAAATTATGAAGAAGATAATGATGAATAAAATATCACTTTTTATATTTTTGACACGTAAAGTTGTCACTTTTCTGTCAAACTGTTTTTATCGTTTTCGTATATAACACATCTAATGGTTTAGTTGTAGCAACTCTTGAATTTTCTTTTTCTATTGAAAGCATATTTTATCTAGAATAAAAATGTCAAATGAAACAGCGTCTATGAGAGAAATACAACACAACCGACAACTCATTATACAAGCTCTAAATAAGAACACAACAAACTTTTCAAACTATTCTAAGATATCTGAGTCATTGAAAGAAGGAAACTTAAAACTGACATTAAACCCAATGACAGATGAGTTTCTATTTCAAGACAATAAGAACCATACTGTCTGTATAAATCCAACAAAAGGAACTTTAAACGAGAAACCTATATCTGAACTTCTTTTGAAAGCAGATGTTGACAACAAAGCAGACAAAACATATGTAGACGATGCAATAGCAAAAGAAGAAGAAAGAGCTGACAAAGCTTATGCAACAAAAGAACATACTCATCCTGAACTAGCAGACAAAACATATGTTGACAATAAAATGTCAAGTGAAGTGACAAGAGCTGAAAACGAATATTCTAAAAAGACTCATACACATACCATTGCAAATATTGCAAACTTACAAGAAACCTTAAACATGAAAAGTGCCGTTGGACATACACATTCTATATCTGAAATAACAGACTTAAACGTTAGCCTTGAAAAGAAAGCAGATAAAACATATGTTAACGATGAGTTAGCATGTGTGGCTAGTAAGTTAGAGAAGAAAGCAGATAAGGAATATGTGGATGAAAAAGATAACGAAATGAAAGAAAGGGTTGACTGGTACCATGAATGGACATCGAAGATTTTAAAAAGTAAAGCCGATACAGGATGGGTTTCAGGATGTTTAGACCTTAAAGCAGATAAAACATATGTTAACAATGAGTTAGAGAAGAAAGCAGACAAGAACCATACACATACAAGTTTTACAACTGTTACTATAGAAAGTATTGAAGGAACGGTTGAAGAAACTGGTGGGGATGCATTATATTGTAAACCTCCTAACTTTCCACAAGGTTTAACATCGGATGACGACATAACGACGATGAGAAACATTAGATGTAAAGATGTTTATGTCATGAAGGATGAAAATAACGTTAAATTCACTGCTCAAGATTTATATGACAAGAAAGCAGACAAGAACCATACACATACAAGTTTTACAACTTTTACAGCAGATGATATTACACTAAACACAACCTTGCCAAGTAAAGGTCCAACAATACCACGGCAACAAGTCTTGTAGATACTTTGATATCTAATGACAATAGTATTATACATCTAAGACAGGAACTCAATGTGCTTAAACAAATTTTGCCGAATCTTATTTACCCGGTTGGCTCTATTTATACGTCAATGAACTCTACCAGACCAGAAGTAGTACTTGGTTTTGGAACTTGGACTCAAATAGTCGACAGGTTTTTGTATTGTGCAAACTCTTCAAAGGAAACAGGTGGAAGTAAAACGATTTCAGGTGAAAACTTACCTGCACACAGTCACTACATAGATTTAAGTACATCTCAAGCAGGTTGGCATAAGCATAGATATTGGGATTGGTCAGCAATGACAAAAGGTAAAGGATATGATGTTAAAGACAACGTTAAGTTTGCTATAAATTGTTACTGGAGTAACACTGAGGGAGGAGGAAACCATATACATCGCGTTTCAGGATATACACAAACAACGGGACAAAGTAAAGACTACATGCCACCTTACATGACAGTTTACGCATGGTATAGAATTGCTTAGTCGTCATTTTCAACTTCTTTAGCATATTCGTCAGGAGTTGTCTTATATTTGTTAGGAACTGTCTTTGAAAGTATACCACCTTGAACTTTGACAAGTTTGAAACGAGGTCTGGCAATAGTAGTTTTATCTTCTGCTTGCAGTGTGTACATTTTGCCATGTTTGCCTAAAACTTCATAATATTCTCTTGTATACTTTCTTCTATTTTTACGAACACGAATGTGAGTACCTGTCGGGTTCCCATTGTTGTCATAGTCAATAGTATTTTCATATGGGTCGCGTTTAGGTATTTCTATTTTTACTTTGTCACCTTTCTGAAGTTTGAAGCCCGGCATTCTTTCTTGTTTGTCTCTTTTGACTAAATTATTAAATATATAGTCTTTCTCTAAGTCAGGGTTGTTTTTCATTTCTTCGGGGAGTGGTTTCCCAAACCTTTTTGTTTACGGTTATTGTAAATATTTAAAACTTGTCTCATCTTTGCCTGGGAGAAGTGTCTATATTTGTCGTCATATGACATTTCATTTGCTTCACCACCTTGTGGTTGGTTTAAGTCTCTTAACATTTTTATACAACCGTCAATGACACCAAGAGCAGAATGGTTTTGGTCGACAATGAAATATTGGTTTACATTTTTTGAACGCAGATAGTTTTTTACATCGTCTGATTTGAAAGAACTTTCACAGTCAGATGTCAGTTTTGTTGGATGGTATTTGTCAACGAATATTGTCAAAGCTGCTAAGATATCTAAAATATTTTTGGACTGTAATGGTATGGCTTCACAGTATCTTGTGTTTTGACCGACAAATATTAGCCAGTATGGTGGTCCATCTTCTCTATACCTCGGAATGTTTTCCAAGATATCCATAAACCAAGCATTTGGTGTTGAACTAAAGATTTTTACCATGAGTGCTTTCTTTGTCGCTTTAGAAACATAGGGGTCCTTGTTTGGATTCGTCATTTTTTAACCCATAAGAAATGGGTTTATTTGGCGCGTTAGCAGGAGTTGCATCCAGATTTTTACCCGCAGTGGGAACAATAGCCAGAGGTGTATTTGGAGTTGGAAGGAAGATTTTGAGTACATTAGGTATACTGAAAGAGAAAGCACAACCTATTATACAAACTGTACAGAAAGGTTGGGATGTAGCACGAGATGCAACAAATCTTATTCCAAATCCTGAAACAAGAGGAAAAGTTCAAGGATGGATGGACAATGTAGGAAGACAAGCAGGAAACTATTATAACAAAGCAAATGACTACTATAACCAAGCAGGACACTATATGGACCAAGGTGAAAGATTCTTTAACAGAGGATATAACCATGCACAACAGTGGGTAAACAATAACCAACCGCAACCACCTCAAACGTGGGGAATGTAAAAGTTTTTTACTGAGATGAAATGAACAATACAGCATTGAGACAAATGGGTTCAAGATGGATTTGTCGGCTTCCAGCAGTTACACAACGTGTTTGTCAAGTTCTTCCTATACCTCAGGAAGTTTTAGACCGACTTAAAAAACAACAACAACCAGTGAAAACAAACCAAACTAAAATTTTTTACTGAGATGAAATGACCGAAGAAGTTGAAACGGTAGATTTGACACCACAAACAAAAAGTTCAGAACCATTGTCAAACCTGTCAAAGAACTTACAGATGAAGAGAAAAATTCAATAATAGAAAGTGCCAGGTCTGGAAATACAAACCCTAACTACAAAGTCACTTTTCATAAAAATGGAACGGCAAGTATCTCAAAAAAGAAACAGACTCTCACAAATAAAATATTGAAGTCTGAAGGAGCTTTCGAGACAACAGATGGAAAAGTTTACTTCACTGACCAACAGTTCATTATAGAACATCTCATTGACTTAGAGTCGAAATATTCTAAACTTTACAACAAACACAAAAAGTTAAAGGAAAACAAAAACAAATGGCATATGATATTTATGAAGATGTTGACGACACAACTGTTCCTGCAAGTGAAGTAAAGTCAGAGGAACCGAAAAGTGACGAAAAACCGATAGAAGAAGAAAAACCAAAAACTGAAGATATAAACCAAAACCAAAGTTTAGTTTGGAAACTAAACCAAGTCAACCTTCATTAGCTGGTATGGGTTGGCGTCAAAGACTTATGGCAGCAGGCGGTTATGTAAAGTAAAGAGAAAAAAATATTTTTTATTTTTATAAAAATGCCCCCATATAGAATGGATAGAAAATCTGCTAGAATAAAAGCAGAGTTGCAAAGTTATGGTTGGAGAGTTTCGAAGAATTTTAAATATAGGAAGGGAAGACCCATAAAAGTCTATGACAAATTGTCTGGTCTTCGCTACGAAATGGATTTGGAAACAGCACGTGCAAATTATCCAAACAGACTAGAGAGGTTAGAAGAAGAA